TCTGTAGGCATCTCGCAAGGTCGTAGTCCCTGGCCTGTCCTTGACTGGTCTAGGCCCTTCCACACAAGGGTGTGCGGCCCTCCTAGGCTCCATGCCCGCAGAGGAAGTAGGGAGGAGGAGGGGCATGCTGGGCTGCAGTGTCATCACTATCAGGCTACCAGAGACCCTGTCAGCAAAGCACATATCGTCGGTGATGGGCCTTTGCCTCCTCCTCCTCCTCCTCCAGTGGCTCTACCACCAGTCGCTGTTGGTAGCAAGGAGCTGAGGAAGAGTTGTAGGAAGCTCCTGCGGCAATGAGGTTGAGGTGTCGTCGTTGCTTTAGTGTCGGCTGAACCCCTGCCTCCCCCAGTGTCCTACCCCGAGTGCCAAGATGCGGCCCATGAGGGGAGTACTAAATTGTCGAGCGTGATCGCTGCGAGTTGCCCTCCCTGCTAGGCCTCATGGATGATGCCTCCTCCTCCTCCTCCTCTTCCTCGACGCCCCCGGGCAGTCGGGTTCCTCAGTTCGCCCCCACGGCTCCGTCGCCGCCCATAGTGCCAAGACTAGCCTTCCAGGGTCGGCAGTCCCCTCTCTTCACCATCAGCGTGTCCTCTCCGTTTAAGGTTTGCCGCCTTCTGTCCAAGGGCCCGGTGGCCTCGGCATCGACCCGACCCCTCCTGAATACGCACTAGGCGGCCCTGATACCCCTGTGGAGCCGCCTGGGGAGGTGATCATCTGGCGGGTCCGCATTGGTAGTACTGAGGATCAGATACCGGTCTCCAGCATGGTTGATGGCCCCTATGAGGATGGACCATCCAGTAGGCCTCGTGGTGATGGTGACTGTCGTTGGATCATATGATGGGGTTAGGTAGGCTGTCACCAGAGCTGTTCTACGACTGTGGTCGGAGGTGTAGGAGGCTCTACCGCTCGGAGGAACTACAGGAGGGTGGGTCAGGGAGGCCCTGCTGGACTTCATATCTATAACCTGGAATCAAGTGACTTATGTAAACTCGGCCACTCGAAGGAATGGGAAATTGTGGAGGAAAATATTGTCGGAATCTTCGCGTCGCCCTATGGCCGCTTACTCAGGCATACTACGGCTACTGCTGCTGCTACTGTTGTCGGCGACGAGGGGCACTCTGGACTGCCGCTACTGTGACCAGTTCCCAGCGTTGAATCGCAAGGTCAATGTCCTGTTCATCCTGGGGGTCCACCTTAGTCATCCAGCTAACTTTGGGGTAAGGGTAACTCTGTCGGGCGGCTCTAGGGTACCGTCATCAGGCCTTGGGCCGACTGCAACACCACGAAGGTATGCACTCACTACGGCACAGCCCTTGTCCCCACGGTGGGATCTTCCGCCTTCTGAAACTGTTGGCTCCTGGAAATTTCCCTCAATGGATCTACGCTGGTAGCCGTCTTACGTCCTCCTCCCGGGCATTCCCGAGGTAGATATGAAAGTCGTCGGTGGTGGGGCCTTCGGGACGGTCTTCCGCTGCGAGACGGTCCTCCAGCGTGAGGCCGCCGCTGCTGCCGCCGATTATGATGATGATGACGACACTGAAGTGGTCGCAGTGAAATTGGTTAACCGCAACCCGAACATTAGAGATAGGTGAGTAGACGGGAGTCGAAGGTAGAAGGGGAGCCCAGGGTTTAGGTGTGTGCTCTACGATGTCTACAATGAAGTGACGTGCCTGGAGGAGGGGCGTTTTGATGATTACATGACGGAGATCTACGACTACGGTCCTCAGGAGTTGTAAGGGTAGAGGTGAATGGCCTTTCAGGTTTCGATGGTTCCTCTTACTGGATCGTCATGCGATTCTACAGCATGACGTTGACGAAGTGGCGGGCACGCTTGGGCCAGCCCTTGGAGGACCATCTTTTGGACCTCTTGGAAGTAGGCGGTGTCACCACGGCGGTGTCACCATCCGTATCAGACCTATCGTAAAATCCTCACTGCAGTCGGCAAGCTCCATCGAGACGGCTTGGTCCACTACGACCTCAAATGTGACAACATTATGGTACTCAGTTAGCTCCTCTACCCTCATCCGAGATGCCCCTCAGGTCCTGGACCACGGCTCCGCTCGTGCCAGCGACATTTCTGTAGTGCTGGCTGACTTCGGGGAGAGTCGGGTACTCGAGGGACCACAAAACGCCGATGTAGGTGGCGGCCTCTCTTGGTTCTGCTTGCCCCCCGAGGGAGGCCCTCATCATCAGCTATGTGTCCGCAACCGTGGAACGGAGTTTGTAAAGCCGCCCGAGATGCTCACCATCGAGCGGGCCCTTCGTCGAGACGAGTAAACCCATGCATCACTATCTCCCTAGTTCACGTCGTTTCCCCACTTCAGCGCGGCCTTCGATCGGCGTAAAAGTGTTGGTACCACTACGGCCAGCGACGTTTGGAGTGTTGGCTGCATGCTCTACGAACTCATCACTGGTAGTTAGAGATTGCTACCGGCGGTGGGCC